CAACTCCAGACACACTCAGCCACCTGATCTTCGACAAAGAAGCCAAGCACCCCCACTGGAGGAAAGATAGCCTCTTTAATAAATGGTGCTGGATAAATTGGGTTTCAACTTGCCAAAGATTAAAACTAGACCTATATCGCTTGCCATGCACTAAACTAAAATCAAATGGATTAAAGATCTAAATATTAAAACAGAAACACTAAACTGGCTGGAAGAGAGGTTAGGTAGAACTCTTGAAGACACTGGTGTAGGAAAAGATTTTATGAACAAAACCTCAGTTGCCCATGAACTACCACAAACAATCAACAAGTGGGATCTCTTCTTATTAAAAAGCTTCTTCACTGCAAGAGAAACCACCAACAGTGTGAAGAGACAACCCACAATGTGGGAAAAAATTTTCACCAGCTATCCCTCAGACAAAGGTCTACTATCTAGAATATATAAAGAACTTAAAAAAAATCAGACCTCCCAAATTTAAAGACCCAATTCAAAAATGGGCCTCTGAAATGAACAGACATTTCTCAGACAAGTAAAAGCAGCAAATAAATATATGAAAAAATGTTCAACATCACTGGTCATTTGAGAGATGCAGATGAAAACAACACTGAGATTCCACCTCACCCCAGAAAGAATGGCTGCTATCATGAAATCAACCAATAACAAATGCTGGCAGGGCTGTAGGGAAAGAGGAACACTACTCCACTGCTTCTGGGAGTGTAGACTGGTGCAACCACTGTGGAAATCAGTATGGAGATGCCTCAAAGAACTAGGACTGGAAGCCCCATATGACCCAGCTAATCCCCTGCTGGGTATCTTCCCAAAAGAATTAAAAGAATCATACTACAGCGATATATGTGCACCCATGTTCATAACAGCACAATTCATGATAGCTAAAACTTGGAAACAGCCCAACTGCCCATCAACTGGCAACTGGATAAAGAAAATGTGGTTTTTCATAAAATGGGCTATTACTAAGCCATAAAGAATGAGAAACTAGACACATTTATAGCTAAATGGATACACATTGAGGCGATACTCTTAAGTGAAATAAATAGGACACACGTGTAAATACAGAATAGTTTTTCTAGTGTGAGAAACTGAAAGTATAAATAAGGACTAAAAGGTATAATAGATAATGTGAAATAGGAAGAAAAGGTCCAAAGGAGAGGGGGAAGTGGGAGGGGTAGGGGAAAGGAAAGAAGGAAATGGAATTAATATGAGAAAAAGAAAAAAGGAAACAAAGTCTTTGTAGATAGGGAGGGATGGAGGGGTTGAAGGAAGGGCAGGGGAATGGGGAAAAAATAAGAACCAAGATGGATTATGTAAAGGTGCAAATTTCCAATGATGAATGTTTTGTACACCTTAAATGTACCAATAAAATTAATTTTTTAAAAAAAGTTTTATTTTGAGCCAGGGATTTAGCTCAGTGGTTCCACCACCTGCCTTGTAAGCTCAAGGACCCGAGTTCAATCCCTGGTACCAAAAGAAAAAAAAAAGTTTTATTTTGAGGCTAATACAAGAGGATCCCAGCCTGGATCCCAGCCTGGATCTCAGCCTGGACAATTTAGCCATTTAGCAAGACCCTGTTTCAAATTAAAAATGGGCTGAAGATGTAGCTCAGTGCAAAGGCCCTTGGTTCAATTTCCACTACTGCCAAAAAAAATTTTTTTTTACTTATACTCTGAGTATTGGTACAACTACATCCCCTCGTTGAGTAAACAGTATGTGAGCTCTTGAGAAACAGCCTGGTACAGTAAAATGGCAGAGGGGATTAAGCCAGAAAGCTGAGCCTAGTACAGGGTTTGCTACTCAACAGTCCATGATCTCCCACAGCTGTCACCTCTGAGCCTCAGCTGCCTCACTGGGTCAAACCGATTCATTTTGTTGAGCTATAAAATGATGTGTTAATAGTGAACTTCTGGGCCAGGATTTAGCTCAGTGGTTCCACCGCCTGCCCCACAAGCGCAAGGACCCGAGTTCAATCCCCAGTACCAAAAAAAAAATTGTGAACTCTTATATACCCACCTTCTAATGGGGGACATTAACATCTGGAAATCAGGCAAATGAAAACAGCAGTATGCAAAGATGAAGATAATTTTCTTGATGCAAATTATTCTTCTTTTCCTCACTTTTGGAAGTGCTGGAGATTGAACCTAGGACCTCTTGCTGATAGGCAAATGCCCTACCACTGTGGTACAACCTCAGGCTTATAAATAGAAAGTCTTTTTACAAAATGGTAAAACAAAGCTGTTCTAGTAGACATCATGGCCATGATCCCTGAACGAATTAAAAAAGAAAACTCTGGGGCTGGGGATTTAGCTCAGTGGTTTTGCCACCTGCCTTGCAAGTGCAAGGACCCGAGTTCGATCCCTGGTACCAAAAAAAAAAAAAAAAATGAAAATGAGATCTAAAAGATTATATACTTTATGACTGCATTTACACTCTAAAAAACGTAAAACTACAGGGACAGAAAACTGATAAATGACTGGCAAGGGCGGCCACAAGGAAGCTGTCTGGGTGATGGAAATGTTCTATCTTGATTGTGGTGGTGGTAACATGACTATGCACTTGTCAAACTCATAAGACTGTTCACTTAAAAAGAATGAATGAGGGCCGGGGATTTAGCTCAGTGGTTTTGCCACCTGCCTCGCAAGTGCAAGGTCCTGAGTTCGATCTCCAGTACCAAAAAAAAAAAAAAAAAAAAAGCATGAATGATAAATCTTGATAAACCTGACTTTAACAAAAGAGCTTTTCAACAGACTGAGCACTCTGGTTCATTTTCATACACTCACCATTCAGCTGGCAGGAAGTCTAACATTAGTTGTACAGTAATAACAAATACTAAAGACTATGCCAAATGCAGAGGTGTAACACTGACACAGGCATCACAATGCAAAGACACACAGTTACTTCCAGAACATGCCAACACAAGCATTCAAAATCAAACAGGGCAAGAGAAGTTAATGCAACGATGTGCCACAAACCTGACTTTAACTTTGTCAAAATTTCGTTTTAAATACATTATATGAAAATTAAGGAAAAGCACACTCCATACACCAGGGTTCTGTTTTGTTCTGGAGGGCTTTTTTCGGGGCAGTGCTGGGGATTGAACTCAGAACTTTTGCAGCTACATCCTACCCTCCCCCTTTATTTAAAATTTTCAGACAGTCTCCTTAAATTGCTCAGACTGAGCTTGAACTTGCAGTCCTTCTGCTTCAACCTCCCAGAATGCTAGCATTACAAGCATGTGCCACTACGCCTGGCTTCTAGGTTGCTTTTAAAGAACAAAGGTAGTAATTCTAACATACACAACAAAAGTTACAAAATTAATCAAATTAACCAAAGAACAGGTGAAGGATGAACCGAGTCAGTTAATGATAATCACAAATATCACCTAAACCATGTATTCCTGACTGAAAATAACACATTTCTTCTAATGTCCCTCATTGGAACATATACTAAAAGAAGACCCAATTGAAATCTTTTATTATCCCACATCTGCTAGCCTGGCATGGTGGTGCACACCTGTAATCCCAGCACACAGAGGCTGAGGCAGGAGGATCACCCTGAGTTCAAGGATATCCCAGACTATATAGTTTGAGCCCAGCCTGAACCATATAGCAAGACCCTGTCTCAAAACAACAAAACTGCTAAGGTTGTTTGTGGCTTCAGTTTACAAAGTATGGAACTCCTACTCTGATTCAATGTAAGATTTTGTTTTTGTTTGGGGGACAGGGTCTCCCTATGCAGCTCAGGCTGGCCTTGAACTCACTATGTAGCCTAGGCTGGCCTCAAACTCATGGTGACCCTCTGGCGTGTGCCACCATGACTGGCAATGTAAGATTTTGATTCTCTGAGTGAAGATCGATGATCAAAGCCAATCAAATCACATTTTTGCTCGTTCCATTCTTCCGGGTAGTAAAAGAACCAGCCAACAATGAGATCAGAAATAAGTTTCTTCAAAAAGACCATTAGAAAAAGGTCACTTGAAGCCAGGCCTAGTGGCACATGCCTACTCCCAGCTACGTGGAAACATCACTTGACCCTAGGAGTTCGAGACCAGCCTGAGCAACATATAGACTGTCACAAAAGAATGAAAGAAATCCACAGACTTAGCTAATCTGAGATCTTCTATCACTCTCTCTTCCCGTAATTTTCTAATCCATCTCAGATCGAGAAACATATACCATTGTACTACTTAACAGGATAAAGAGTATTTAATACCATACGTTAACATATTAAATGGGTGCTCAGAATAAGATTTACACAGATTAAATTACCCAATAACTATCCAGTAAGCAGGTATTTTGAAGATTAAAACCAAGGCATTTGATACCATTAACTCACAATGAAAAGCAGGAAAACACTCAGAGCAAGAAAGCTTTCCCTAAAAGACGGCATTTTCTTGCCAGCAATTACCTCATAACACTTATAATGAAAGGCCAGTGAAGTTTCTTTACAAGTTATTTGCTAGATATTTTACAGAAGACGACTAACAATTAGACTGGAGCACTCTGGAACCTCTTCTATTGCTGGAGAAGCGTTGGACCCTTGGCCAGAGTCAAATAGCTCCTCGATGGAATCTCTACCACAACATGTCTCTCCCTACCGAGGGTGCTCCTGGCCTCTTTTAAAGATCCACACGAAAAAAAGCAGACTCCTCTCCGAGCCGACCTCGCCGGCGGGCCCCGACAACGTCCCTCGGCTGCGCACAGCGGAGACCGGCGGGGACACAGTCGCCGCTCCTCCCCACCAGGGCCGCGCGGGCCTCGAGGCGGCTCAGCTCCCCGCCTGCTCTTCGGAGCAGAGCTCCGGAGCAAAGGGAGCCAAGTCCCGAGGCGGGCGCTCAGTCCAAGCGACTGTCATTTAAACTTAGTTCCAGCCCGACTACGGAACGGGCTGCAGGTCCGCCGGCCGCGCTCCGCGCTGCCCCGCGGCCACCGACCCGCGCCCGACGGCCCCACGCCCGGCGAAGACGCAGCGACGGCCCGACCACTCACGTTCTCAGCGTCGCGTTCATTCACCGTGGGCAGCGGGGTCCTCGTGGACATCTTACTGCGCTTCACGTCCGCACGTCGTGAGGGCAAAATCGGAAGCGCCGGGCCCTGGGTGGCCTCCGGGCGGCAGGCCTCGCTTTAGATCCCGGGCCGGGCTCGGGCCGCGCCCCCGTGGGCCCCCGGGCTCATGCTCCCCCTGCCCCGGCGGCCCAGGCGGGAGCCCGGCGGGGGCGGGGCGGGGCCTGCCGGCGTGCCCGCGCCTCAGGGCGCCCCGCGGACAGAACTTCTCGCTTCGGCCGCCCCTGCCGCCCGTCGCGCGCAGAGCTCAGCCCCAGGGCCTCCACACGGCGCCGCCGGCAACAGCCGCAGAGCGGGAGGTACAGGACGTTGTTGAGGTGGAGCGAAAGACTGGCCGCCGCGGGCTGCGGGCGCCGACCATGGAGGGGGCCGCGAAGAAGGTGCCTGCGCCCGGCTGCTTTCTCCTCTGAGGCCCGCTTTCCTCCTCCCCTACGCCCTGCCCAACGCCAACGCCGCCGCCGCCGCCGCCGCTCCCCGGCACCTCAGAGCCTCACGGACCCAAGATGGCCGTCTTTCAGCTTCCTTCGCTGCCTCCGGCTCCCGGAAGTGACGCCATCACCGCGTCCGGGGTTCAACCAATCAGCGCGGCCCGAGAAGCCGCCCAGCTGCTGTTGCTAGGGGCGACTGGATCCTGTCTGGCGGGAGGGGCGGGCCGGAGGGCCGGGAAGGGCTGGCCGGGTCTAGTACCGCGCCCGAGGGTGGCAGGCTCCCACCAAGCGGGGAAGGGCCCGGGGCTGCGGGCTGAGCCCGACGGATGGGTGGGTGCACAGATTACAGGTCTGGAGGTCTGGATTAGTGACGGAGCGCCTGCCGTGTTCCCCAGGACCGCGCTGTGCAGGGAGGAGCTTCCGGGCGATGCTAAGGCCCGGGTTGTGGCCGAGCTCCTGCATAGTTCACCGTAACCCAGGTGCAGAGCATTCAGTCTACTACTTTCCGCCTCCCACCCGGGGCGCAGGAGCCTGGGCTCGGCATCCCGGGGGGAGCGAGCGCATCGTGACCTTGAGGAGGTGGCGATCCGAGGGCGTGGACCCGGGCCAGCTAAACGCCGACCGCTTGAGGGTGCAACGACAGAGTGATGCAGAGGAGGAGAAGCGAGGCGAGCCCTCAGAGGCCTCCAGCGACCCGGGGGTGGGGTGACTAAAGGGATTTGTAACTGGGGGACTGGAAGCTTCCCGGGTGCCACCTGGGGGCCCGGCTTGGCTGGGTCGTCAGAGGTGCTGCCCGCCGAGGACGCACTGCATCGGTGCAGGGCTCAGGTGACATCTGCTGCTGAGCATCTACTTGGCGGACACGCTACATCCCTTGCTCCTCCTGTAGGTTTCAAGGTGAACACGCCGCGTGACCTGAAGTCTGCTAACTTGGCCAGAGCACCCCGTGTTGGGTAGCACCAGAGCTGGGCTTGAACGCTTTTCTGCAGCTTTGGTAATAATCACCCTTGTAGTGGGTGACTACGCTCTGCTTGCAGCTGCTGTTCCTCTTCCTCTTCTCTTTCCTGGTCCCACAGCATCCTAACTCCCTTTGACTTGTCTGGGCCATTTCCTGCTCCAGGAAACACACCTTTAACCACCAGATTCTCCCAGACGGCCAGGCGCACCCAATACAAAACCACCAGGACCTAAGGTGCAGAAGGTCCTCTGTCAAGTGTTATTCTCAGCCTGTACCCCCACACCCAGCATTCAGGAAGCTGAGACCCAGGGGTCATGAGTTCCAGGCCAGGTTGGGCTACAAGGCAAGACCATGTCTCAAGAGAAAACTGAAATGTAGGTGATGGTAGTGGAGTGAGCACACGTGTTACAGGAGACCACTCGGGGTCATTCAGCCCACCCTGAGGGGCCAGGTCCCGGAAGCTTCCCAAGGAGGGGAGGGGTGGTCCTGGCAGACACGCAGTGCACAGGGCCACAGAGGTGGGCAACCACCGGATGGGCTTGGGTAAAGGTTAAAAGTGCAAGAGGTGAGAGGGAGGCTGGAACCAGTCAGGCGTGGATGCAGCCTGGCACCCCGTTCTGGGCCCATCCTGGGGAGTTGGGAAAACACTTCTGAAAGAATGCCACCCTCAGCCAGGAGCTGAGAGAAAGCCTGTGGATGACTCGGTGCACACAGCATGGGTGAAGAAGTAGCTGGGCGATGAGGGCTGTGGCCTGGTGCTTCTCACCAAGGCCACACAGGAGTTGGTGAATGCCAAAAGTTAGGAAATGAAGGCCATAGTACTTAACTCAAGATGCTTCTGGTGTCTGTAAGATTAGAATTAGGAAAACACTTTGAGCCTTTTCTTCCACTTATTTCAAATGGCATCAGGGTAGCCAAGCATGATGGATGTGCACACCTGTAATCCCAGCACTGAAGGAAGCTGAGGGAGGAGGATCACAATGAGTTGGAGGCCAGCCTGGGGTACACAGTGAAGGGCTACACTCTGTCTCAAAAAGGGGGGGTGGGATTTAGCTCGGTTTCTCCACCTGCTGTGCAGGCACAAGGACCCAAGTTCAATCCCCAGTACCAAAAAAGGGGCGGGGGCAGGAGAGACCACCTCACAGTCATTAAGGTAAAAAAACCAAAAAGTAGTAAGTGTTGGCAAGAATGTGGTGAAACTGGAACCTTTGCAGCCACTGCAGGGGGCAGTATGGTGACTCCTGCAATAATTAAAAACAATCACCATGTGACCCAGCAGCTTCACTTCTGGTTGATAGTCCCAGCTACTGGGGAGGCTAAGGCAGGAAGACCATCCTTTCACAGCTGCCCTTCTCTCTCCTGCTCCTTCATGCTGCTTCCTCCCCTCGTGGTCTTCACTGAGTGCCTACTTCACACGGAGCACTGGGGATACAGCTGTGAGCAGGAAAGGCACCTCCGCTTGTCAGGGAGCACACACAAGATTCAAGACTGATGTCACTTCAGGACGCAGGAAGACAATTAGGGTGGAGCGGCAGAGACTAAGTTCTTGGTGTAATTCCAATTTCACTCGTGTTTTTTCTTTTGGTAATAGATACACATTGTAGAGTACGAAGGTACAAGAGCACCAGGCCAGGGATTTGGCTCAGTGGCACCGCGCCTGCCTCACAAGCACAAGGTCCTGAGTTCAATCTCCAATACCAGAAAAAAAAAGGTGCAAGAGGATATACAGTTTTTAAACTGCTCCCCTCCACCCTTTAGCAACTTTTGTTTTTCAAAACACCATTAAAAGGGGGTGAAAAAGCCTCAACCTGGGAGAAGTTATGGAATGTCCAAGATCTGCTAAGATCAACAACCTAATAGAATGCCAGACGAAAGATAAGAACCACAGTAGCGCTTCACAGTGATAAATGGCAGCAGAATGCCTGGGGCTGGCCAGGCCAAAGATGCAGGCACCAGCAGATTCCGGTCAGAGAATTCTGCTTTCTAGCTCTCAGGTGAACTTCTAGTTCCACCTTTGTCAGGTCCTCACCTGGTGGTGGAAGAGGGCAGGGCCCACTCTGAGGTCCCTGACTCCTCGTGACCTCATCACCTCCCCAAGTCCTCACCTCACCAGGTTCCTGCTAATCTGAGGGAGGCTGCACCTTCACCCTGTGGTGAAGTCACCATGTAACCAAACAGACTCTCCAGACTGCAGGCCAGGGCAAGCGGCGATAAAGCTGAGGGCAGAAAGTAATGAAGCAGCCCACACCACGGAAAGGACCAGCACAGCCAAACATGGGTGCTTTGGCAAAACCCAGTAACACTGGGACGGATCTGACCTCAGCAGGTAAAGTAGAAGTTCTGCACCTGCCACAGCCCAGGATTCCAGCCAAACGATGGGCCCTAAAGCAATGCCTGAACACGAGTAAGAATATTCAGAGTATTGCAGTACCAGGGATCCAACTCAGGACCTTGTCTTTGCGAGGCAGGCAAGGTGCCACTGAGCTGCATCCGCGGCCCACACGGTTTCTTATAGAATCACACTAAAAATGCCCTGTGTCCATTGTTGGTTTGAGCAGAAAATAAGGCACATGCACATAAACGGCGTGTACCAGAAGGAAGTACTGTGCTGGAGCTTCACACGACAAGGCTAGCAGATTCCAGGAAAATAATCTTAACTGAAAAAAAAACAACAGTTCATGGGGTAAAAGTATTGAAAAAAAAACAAAGACAAAAGCCAGGAGGGCAGCACACGTCTGTAACCCAGCACTCGAGAGGAGATAGGAGGATTAATGCAAGTTTGAGGTCAGCCTGGACTGCATAGTGAGACCCTGTCTCAAAAAACAAGACAAAAAGCTACTTTATGGAAGTGAAACTTACCTAATGGCCAGGCATGTGGCATATTCCTGTGTCCCCGCTGCTTAGGAGGCTGAGGTGGGAGCATCACTTGGCCCTAGGAGTTTGACCCAGCCTGGGCAATTAGCAAGACCTCATCTCAAAGTAAAACACCAAGAAACAAAGGCAAATGAAAAATTTAAAAAAGAAATTCACCTAACACTAAATAACCGAGGTTTTTTTAGGTCTTTTTTTTTTTTTGTACCAGGGATCAAACTCAGGACCTTGTGTTTCTGAGGCAGGCGTGGCACCACTGAGCTACATCCTGGGGCCAAACCAGTTTTTTTTTTCCATTGTTGAGGTTGAACCCCGGACCTCATACATGATAGGTAAGTCCTCCAGTTCTAAATTCTATCAACAGCCCTTTTTATTTTATTTTGAAACAGTGTTGCTAAATTGCCTTGAATTTGCAAACTTCCTGTCTCAGCCTCCCCTAGTAGCTGGGATTACAGGCATGTGACACACACCCAGATAAAATAACATTTTATTTTATTTTATTTTATATTTATGTTTACAGTACTGAGAATTGAACCCAGGGTCTTGCACATGCTACGCATGTGCTCTACATCTGAGCTGCATCTCCAGTCCTCATCTGATAACTATTTTGAGGATTTTTTTTTCCGTACTTGAGGGAGGGTCCCAGGGCCTTACATGTGCTAAGCAAGGACACTGCTTCTAAAGTCCAGCCCCAGCCCTAATTTTACCTTTTTTGCTCCTTGTTTATTTTGGGGGGTTTTAGACAGGGTTTGTAGCCCAAACGGGCCTTGAATTCACAGCTTTCTCCTGCCTCAGCCTCCCAAGTCCTGGGATTACAGGCGTGTTCAGCCCTGTTTTTATTGTTTTTATTTTTATTTTTTTGGTGCCGGGGATGAACTTGGGATGCTGTGCTTGTGAGGCAGGAGTCAGCCCTGTTTTTAAATCATTGTTTTCTTGCTGATGAGTTGCTTGAGCTCCCTGTACATTTTAGATATTAGCCCCTTATCTGATGTGTGATTTATAAACATTTTCTCCCAATCTGTGGGTCGCCTCTTTGTGCTGTTTTTTTCTTTGTTGTGCTGTAGTTTTTCACTTTTTCTTTTTTTTTTTTTCCCGAGACAGGGTCTCATTATGCAGTTCAGGCTGGCCTCAAACTCACAGCCATCCTCCTGCCTCAGCCTCCTGAGTGCTGGGATCAGAGGCATGTGCCACCACACCCACTGCACACGGGCTGCAGCTTTTCACTTTGACACAGTCTCATTTGTCTATCTTTGCTTCTGTTGCCTGTGCTTTTGGAGT